GGGAACCAATCCTCTCCCCAACCCCCAGTCCCCTACCCGCTTCCCCTGCCACTGTCTCCCCCCAAAACACACACTCTGACTGGTAGCCTCTCCTTGGAAGAGGTGGGGTGGTGTTTGTGGTAATGTGAGCCATGCCTACTCAAGCAGGCCCCTTTGTCAGGTTTTCTTGGGCCCTATCACACAAGTTCTTAAGGGTCATCTCAAGTAATGGAATCATCTGCTCCTACTCACAGTTAGCCTTCACCCTCACAGGGTGCCCAGAACCACCCTCTGCACACCACTCTGATGCTGCAGCCCCGGGATTTCCTGTACCCTAGAGTTGAACGCAGGAGCAAAAGCTTCCTTCCCCTTTCCTGCTGCCCAGGTTCAAAAGTGTGAAATTCATCATAAAATTCACCCTTCTTGGTTTTAATAATTTCCTGACAGATGCTGTCTACCAGCCAAAGAATATTTATAAAATGAGCAAGCTATAATTAGCGATCATGACACCCATCCCTGCATCCCCATCACTGAAACAGCACAGCACAGAGCCAGTGAGACTCTCTCCTTGGGGATACAAGTCAAGGGGATGCAGAAAGACCCAAAATAACCAAAATAAGCAGCATTGTAATGTGTTCATTTAAAAAATAAAATTAATATAAACTAACCCCTGCCAAGCAAAATATCAAAATTTGAAATAAAGAGAAGCTCAATGTTATGGTTTCCTTTGCTCTCCAGCTCCATTCTGTCTTGGCATAGAGCAGAACATTACGACATTCCAGTTATGTCATAGTCTTCTCTGCTCCAGAGATCCTGTGCTGCCCGCCACAGCAACTGGTGGGGCTGTCTCAGCTCCTCTGTACCCCTCAACCCACACACATCCTCCGCATCTCCACAGTAGCAGCCTGCCAGTAGCTAATGTGCCTCTGTATACCATTACTCCCTCCATCTATGCAGCTCCTACCCTCCCCCCAGGCCTTCCAGGAAGGCCTCATCAATAGTTTCTTAAAAAGCACTAATCTACGTTAATCCAAATACACTTGGATGTATTCACTTCACTGGGAATCAGGAAATCTATGGTTTGTTTTGATGCTACAGTGCCGTATCCAAGTGATCTTGGCTGTACCAGTTAATGTCTCTGGTCCTTGGTTTCCTTATTTGCTAAAAGTAGGGGAGGGATGTTGTGGAAGGGAGTGTACTCTAACAATGAGTTTTCAGAATCCTGCAGGTTGTTGTAGTCTTTCAGTACTGGGGCTGGTGCAGTGACATCACAGACTAATCCTCCACCTGCAGTGCCAGTGTCCTATGTGGGCCCCAGTTCTAGTCCCAGATGCTTTACTTCCCAATCCAGCTCCCTGTTTATTGCTTGGAAAAGCAGTGGAGGATGTCCCTAAAGCCTTGGGATCCTGCACCCATATAAGAGACCCAGAGGTGGCTCCTGGCTGCTCTCTCTCCCTCCCTCCCTCTATCCCTCCCTCCCTCTATCCCTCCCTCCCTCTCTCACTGTTTGTATGTGTGTCCTTTTCATGTAAATCTGCCTTTAAAATTAAAAAAACAGGTAAATATTTTAAAAATACTCTGTATATATGTAGAAAGTGAAAGACAGTAGCTTCATCATGGAGAAGGGTGGTAAAAACCATCTTGATCAAAACAATTTCATTCTGTAGAGAAACAACAACACCTTAATAAAGCAGCACTATTGAGTCTCCAGATAGGCTGGGAGGACGAGAGCATATCACTTTTGTCATCCCCCCTTCAGCATACCCTCATCACAGAAAAAGCATCAGACACAAGTTCAGGGAAATTCTACAATATGCTGGACAAGTACTCTCCAAAAGTGTCAAGTGGAAGCACAGGCATTGAGGCACAGTGGGTTGAGCCACTGCTTGCAATGTTGGTAAACCCTATGGGAGTGACAGTTCACATACTGGGTTCTGATATAGCTCCCTGCTAATGAACAGGGAGAAACTGCAAGATACCTTAAGTGCTTGGGACCCTGCCACCCAAGCCAGAGACCCGAATGGAGTTCATGGCTCCTGGCTTAAGCCTGACTCGGCCCCAGCAATTGTGCCTGTGGAGGAGTAAACCAAGAGACAGAAAATCTCTCTCTTTATTCTTTTCACTGTGGATATAACTGATTTTTACATAAATCTACAAAAATAAAAAGTTTTTGAAGCACTTTTTTGCTTTTAAAGATTTATTTATTTTTATTGAAAAGTCAGAAAGGAGGAGAGACAGAGAGGAAGATCTTCTGCCCAGTGATTCACTCCCCAAGTGACCACAACAGTTGGTGCTGCACCAGTCTGAAGCCAGGAACCAGGAACCTCCTGCAGGTCTCCCACTCGGGTGCAGAATCCCAAGGCTTTGGGCCATCCTCAGCTGCTTTCCCAGGCCACAAGCAGGGAGCTGGATGGGAAACGGGGTCGCCAGGATACAAACCGGCACCCTTATGGGACCCTGGCGCATTCAGGGTGAGGATTTTAGCTGCTAGGCCATTGTGCCGGGCTCAAAGCACTTTAAGTGGTACACTCATAGTAGGCAGTTAATAAATAGCAGCTACTATAAGCAAATACATTGCTCCCAAGTGTATTGGATCACAGAAATAAGTTTTGGTGGAAAAGACAGTGATAGAGACCCATTAGTTGGCACTGTTGCACAACAAAGCTATCCCAGCCACCGATAAGGCATGATTTCGTCTAAAAGGTGTTACAGAATTCACTTTCGGCTAAAATGTGTTACAGAATTGAGTTCTCAATCTTGGAAGACATTTCTCAGTATCAAAACATGCAGTCAGGGTGCTAACTGCCCTTTATTCGTGGCTCACATTGGGTGTCTCCCTCATAGCCCAAGCTGCTACAGCTGTGTAGCTGAGTAAACCTGGAGTCAAGACCTCCCAATCTGAGAAGACTTTTTGCTTCCCACAACTAAAAGGGCAGATTGTACAGCACTGTGCCCTCTATGTGTCTGGAATCTCCACCCAGCTCTGCCAAGAGGTCCCACCCATCAAATCCTCATCTTAGTGACTGATGGATGCAGCTGGCTTAGACTGCTGAGGAGAGGAGCTTCAACAGAGCTCTTCCTGGGACAAATCAGCCAAGAAACTGATGGCATCAGCAAAACCGTAAGTTTGCAGGATTTCGTTCTGTAGATAAACGGGAACAGCACACAGACATTAAAGGCCTTTTCCACAGGATTAACCCTGAGGGTGAATGGAAGCTAGTCTCACCTCCACAGTCCTGTGAACAAGAAGGAAGTTACACAAGTGGAAATGATAAAGTTTGAGCAGTGTTGAGCCTCTCGGGGAGGTTGTGGAGCACCCAGCTGGGCCACTTAAAACTTTTGGGGTCAAGGAAAGAATTCCCACCTTTGCAGTCTGCCCTTCGCAGGTGTGAGGCTCTTCCTGTGCAGGTGGCCAACCTCTGCACCACCTGAGACTAGGCACATCACATGAAATCTCATTTTGTTCATACAGGAAATGTTTAGTAAGTGTTCATGGAGTGGATGGGGATTTGCATCTAGACATGACTGTATCATCCCCCCTAACTTAACCCCAATATGATGTTAAATTCAGGTCTTCCCTAAAACCATTGGTGGGGTATATAAGCCAGTCCTGGCACTATTATGAATACACTACCTAAACAACCCACCCTTGTTCTGTTTTATAGCTGAGAAAACAGACATGTGGGGCAAAAGGAAGAGGTAACTCACCTGAAGTTACAAATAGTAGGTGACCAACCCAGACTCTGAACCTGAGCAGCCACTGTTCTCCTCCCCTCTGCCTCTCAGAGTCAAATCCTAAGCATTTTCTTGGAGGATGCTGATGGTTCTACCCACCCAGCATTAGGGGTTTTCCAGCATGGTGGCCCCAGGGATCATGAGCCTGGTGATACTCCCACCTTCTGCCAGAGCCTCTAACGTTGGATGGTGAGGATTGCTCTTATAGCAATGGGCCTGCCTGCAGTGTAGGACAAACCTCTGCTCCCCACCTCCAACCCCAGACTTGGAATGTAGCCGTCCCCTGCAGCCTGGGGAGCAGCTACCATTGGAAGAAGACAGGGTGGGGGTTAAGCAACCAGTTCCTTTGCTCTGAGCCATTTTGACTCTCACCAAGAACCCTGAAACCCAGGACTTCCAGTCAGCCTGCTCCAGGCTCCAGTTGCATCCGTCTCAGATGCTAACATGTCATGACAGGATAGCATAGCATCTGATCTGTACTCAGGTGTGTTTTTATTTTTTTAATAGCAGATTTGGCCTCACAGTTTACTTGAGGGCACAGGGAGAGGTGAGAGGTGGATGAGATGGAGAGTTCTTCAATTGAAGAAGACTGCTGAGTGGTAATAGCCATCCAGGACATTCTACTGAATTCTGATAGCAGAACATTCTAGAAAAGATTCCAAATTTAATATTGAATAATGTCCTGATAGCTTAGAGTTTTGAAAGTAAAAACCAGGTTAGCTATGACACACAGAATATTCCACTAGAATTCAGGAACTCGCAGCTAGTCTGCTTCCCACACTGTTTTCCAAAATCTGCTGACCATTATCCTGATTGTCCATATAATGGCCTACTCAATATATAAAAGAGCACTGACAGTTCTTTGCTAATTTCCAGTGTTTGCCTTACCCAAGACCTCCCCCTTTAACCTCCCAAAGACACTACACAGAAATGTCCCTGACTAGATCCTTCTGTCTCTCCCACTCAAGTCTAGTTGAATACTAGCCTCTCTTTAGTCCCCATAGGCACGATCTTCCTTTGCATCTATTTTTAGTACTCCTGGGTCAAGCTTTCTCAGGCCACTGAAATACAACCCTCACTCTCTCCCTGTCTCCCTCTGACAGGCAAGCTACTACCATGATAGGAGCCACCCAAGCAAAATTTGTTTGCGAAACCCTTTAGTCCTCCTCCTTGCTCAAGAAAACTGTGGGCTATAGGATCAAGTTCTACATCCAAGATGGATGAAAGCCGGACGACCTCCTGAGGGACTGGCAACTTGGAATCCCTCCAGCTACCCCCACTTCAACAGTCGCTTCATTTCCTTGAAGGTAGTCCTATCTCATTTTGTTTTTCAAAGAAGCCTCTTCATTCCCAGCTCGCCTGCCATGCCAACTGCCATTAGTGCGTCTGTTGCCCCCCAAACGGGGGCTGAGCCCAGGTCCCCAGGGCCAGTTTCCCATCCAGCCCAGGGCAAGACCACCGAGGCTGGGGGTGGAAACCCAAGTGGCATCTACTCAGCCATCCTCAGCCGCAATTTCCCCATCATTGGAGTCAAAGAGAAGACATTCGAACAACTGCACAAGAAATGCCTGGAGAAGAAGGTCTTGTATCTGGACCCTGAATTCCCGCCGGACGAGACATCCCTCTTTTATAGCCAGAAGTTCCCCATCCAGTTTGTCTGGAAGCGACCTCCGGTGAGTAGTAGCTTTCTAGTGTCTCTCTGGGTTTATTTTTTCCCCCTTAGAGACATCCTCCCACTCAGCACCTGCCCTGGGCTCTGCCACTGTGCACACGGCCCTGAGGGAGGCCCCTGGCAGCAGCCCTGTTGGGCCTTGGCCTCAAGCAAGAAGTGGGAGGAGAGGGGCAAGTCCTCAAAGTTCTGCTACATCTGGACCAAATCAGCAGTATTGCCCACTCTCTTCCTCTCTTTCTGAAAAAGCAAACTACTCTTGCTTTTCATAAAAGGGCTTGGAACTGGTGAATTCATGCTGTAACATGAAGAAATACTACTTTCCTAGGACCAACTATTAACAGGCTAACCCCTGTTACTCTGGTTAAGCACCCAACCCCTTTGGTGAGGTTCCTTCAGCAGATGGGGCTAAAGAGGTGAGACTGTGCTTGAGTATGCCAGAGGCCTTATCTTTCTTAAATGTGCCAGAGTCCCAAGACTGGGAGGCTGTGAGTAAATACCCCTTCCTCAGGCCTAAGACGTGAGCCTTGTGCAAACACCTCACCTCTGATGGAGGACAGTGAGATACTGTAGAGCACAATGTCACCCGAGAGCACCTGACTCAGCCTGGACGCCAACCCCTTCCCCAGCAGGAAAGCCTCCAACCTCAGGACTCCCAGAGGGGCTGTCACATGCATTTAGGGCTCTAGCAGAGCAGCATGTGCATGCCCCCAGGACGACTCACAGGGATCATTTCAGTCAAGAAGTCATAACCATGAAAACTCTGTGTGTGTGTGTGTGTGTGTGTGTGTGTGTGTGTGTGTGTATGCATTTGTGCATGTAAGGGGAGGCAGGCAGGAAGAAAGGAAGTGGGGAGGAAGAGAAAGACTAGGGAGACCCTGGCAAGTAACTGGGGAGAGGAAAATGAAAACCCCTGCTCTCTTGGAGCTTGGACTGCTGAGGGGAAGACAGGCACTGAATGAGAAAAGCAGTCAGGGTGGTGTGACCATGGTCCAAGCTAGGGGCTGTAGCAGACAGGAGAACCAAAAGTCCTCCACAGGGAATGCTGGAAGTTGAGACCCAGTGCCACTCACCGTTTTCTGTATTGAGCCGCCTGTGGTCCCGAACAGCCCTGCAGACTCCACTAGCACCCTTGTCCTCCTGGGCCAGCCCCTTGACCCCACTAGAACATCGCCAGGGTGCTGCCTATGAAAGAAAATCACTGTGGTTTGCTTGCAATTTATGTTGCCGAGTCACTAAGGACCCCCATGTCAACAGCTCATTCCTGCAGAGGGAATTCAACCCTTAAATGACCTGCTCGGCAGAGACACCAGTGAAAGGCACTTGGGTTCTTGAGGGCGTGCCTCTCGTGGGGTTGCTTATAAACTCTGAGCTGGGCCTTCGAATCTCCCTCTCTTCTGCTCTCCTTTCCTGGCTTGTTTCGGCTCTATCCTCTGTACATAGGCCGCCATTGCTGCCTTCTGGACTGGCCAGGAGACCAAACCAAAGGGACTTAATCATGGACTGTGAAATGCCAACAAAACTGTGAGTCAAAAAAGCCCTCCTTCCTTCATAGGCAGCTGGCCTTAGGTACTGAATTCTAATAACAAAATACTGGTGAATACATGACCATTGCAAAAAGATGCACCGTCCAGCCATTGTCCCCCACCTGCTGGTGGCAGGGGGAACCAAAAGTCTCCTGACAGGAGAACATGCAAGGGAGCATCCTGGGAAAGATGCCCCTGCATATCTTCATTTACTCCTGCTGCCTTCATAGTCAGCCTGAACACTAGCTGAGACACAGGCCCTGGCCAGCCCCAGCTTCTCGCTGCTTCCTGGGGCCCTAATGCAACAACAGAGTGGTTAAGTCAGTGACCCCATTCCCTGGCGTCTCCTCCTAGCTCAAGGCCTTTGCTTGGGCAGTACCATCCTTCTTGTTTGAATTCAACTCTTCCTCACCGTCTCTCAGACTGCTCATGGGCTGCTTCCTTGGGAGTCCCCACCTCTTGTTGAAAGCAGAGGCCTTTTCTGTTTCATCTTGAGATTCCCACTAACCCAGCAGGGGCCAGGCCCATGTGGGAAACCAGCTGAAGCTCATTAGATTAGAACCCACATCTGAGGGCCTTGACCACTAATATGTGGAACAGCTCAGATTTCTACGCTGTAGATGGCAGTGGATGGCTTTTTCTAACTGCAATGGCAGTGGGCAGGTGGTCAGGGACCAAAACTCAGCAAGTTGTGTTTAGAGAAATGACTGGTGGTCTTGAGTCTTAAAAATCAGACTTGCAGGTCTGGCGTGGTAGCCTAGTAGCTAAAGTCCTTGCCTTGCACACTCCAGGATCCCATATGGGCACCGTTTCGTGTCCCGTCCTGGTGACTCTTCTTCCCATTCAACTCTCTGCTTATGGCCTGGGAAGGCAATTGAGGACAGCCCAAGGCATTGGGACCCTCCACCCACATGGGAGACCCAGAGGAGGCTCCTGGCTTTAGATCAGCATAGCTCTGTTGGTTGCAACCATTTGGATAGTAAATCAGTGGATAGAAGATCTTCTCTGTCTCTCCTCTTCTCTGTATGACTGCCTTTCCAATAAAAATAAAGTTTAAAAATCTAAAAAACAAAACAAAACAAAAAACAACCCAATTGCTTAAGAAAAAAATCAGACTTGCAGGCCAAGTGTGATAGCCCAATGGTTGAATCCTTGTTTTGCATGCACCAGGATCCCATATGGGTGCAGGTTTGTGTCCCAGCTGCTCCACTGCTTGCAGCTCCATACTTGTGATCTGGGAAAGCAGTAGAGGATAGCCCAAAGCCTTGGGATTCTGCTTTTGTGTGGGATACCTGAAGAAGGTTTCTCCTAGCTTCGGATCAGCTCAGCTCCAGCCATTGCAGCCACTTGGGGAGTGAACCAGCAGATAGATCTTTGTCTCCGTCTCTCCTTCTCTGTAAATCTGACTTCCCAATAAAAATATGTGAATCTTTTAAAAATCAGACTTGCGACATGCGCTAGACACTAGATTGATCAGTGTCCATTTGTGCTTGCTTCAGCAGCACATATACTAAAAATTGGAATGATCAGTGTCCATTTGTGAAGCAACGGGTACCAACCCCAAAGGTCTCAAACCAGCAATAGACTTCGTGAATTTTCTGCTATCTGGTTAACTTGGAGGAACAGATGACAAAAACCACCCTAGGCTATCTCAAGGCCCGCATGTCTTCCCAGGATTATGACCAGGGCAACACCCTTGGAACAGAGTGGTGGGGTAGTTCATCCACTGTTAACTAGAGGGGAGTTAGAGGTGGTCAGAGTTGGACCACATCTTGAAGATGTGAGGAAGGTGTGGGAAGGACCCTTGCCTCACTTGCAGCCGCACAGTGAGGGCTCAAATGTTGAAAAACTTGAACCAGAACTTTCTGAGAGGTCAAGCATTTCTTTGGAACCCGAGTGTTCCATCCACACCCACAGGTATGGAGGGGCTTTGCTGGGCTCCCGCTGTCTGAGAAGGAAATGGGTTCTCCCAAGGAGAAGCCACAGGCAGGAAAGCAAAGCCAGCCTACTTTGAGTCACTAAGGCACAGTGTTGCTGAAAGCCAGCCTGAATGTTTCTCTGTCAAATGATGATGGTATACAAATAGGTACATGGTCAATTATGCTAGTTAAAATACTAACAGGCTGTACCTGCAGCCTCTTGTTTTAGAGGCCCAGCCAGCCTGGCCTCCCTCCGTGCTTCCTAGATCTGCTTTTCTGCCTGCTGGAAGAGCACCATGCACTGTGTTTCTGGGCCAAGCAACCTGAGCCCTGTGCATCTTGGCGGTGCTGCCTAATTACCTTTGACTCTTGACACCTGGTGAATCCAGTATCTGGATCTTTAACATGGCAGAAATGTCTGCTTCACTTTTCAAAAGGAAAGTTAGGAGGCTTTCTTATAGTTGCAGAAATAGCACCACCTCTCTGGGAGAAAGAGAATATGTTGTCTAGAGGGGGGAGAACAGGAGGATTTGCTGACAACAAGGGTTAGAACTCAAGAAAGACTGGACAGCCACCCACCCACAATTGGCCCCCTCCATGGCCTGACCCTTAAACAGCCTTGCTGAGGAACTTGTAAATGGCTTGAGTCAAGAGAGTTTTTGATAAGTGGTAAAAATCCCATCATTTTAGGAAGAAAAATGGGGGCGGGGAAGATTGGGTTGTGTGAAAGGCTGAGCTAAGGAGCTGGGGAGAATCTCTTTTCTATGCTGGTTTACTCCCTAATTGGCCACATCAATTTAACTTTACATGAGACAGGCATCAGGGGCTCCACCCAGGTCTCTCACCTGGGTGGCAGGGGCCTAAGCACTCACTGTGTTCCAGGCACATTTAACAGGGAGCTGGAATATTAACTGGGACTCCTGTAGGATGTTGATATCACCAGTAGAGGCCTAACATGCTGCACCACAGTACTGGCCCCAAATCTCCTGTCTTGATTTTCATAATGGGGACTGAACCATCCAGCTCAAAGCCTGAGTGCAGGAAAAGAGAGAAGCACAAGAAGAGAAACTGCCAGGAGCTCTGGGGAGGTTGAGGAGCTTCTGCCCTCCCTCCCCAGGCTATGAAGCAAGGCTTCAGGACCTGTTTACCTGTATTTTCACAGAACTTAAGGCCTGGCTAACACCTGTTGAGGAGGAGCAGATACTTGCTTTACCCTTTTCAGGTTTAATCATTGTCAAGACTTGGGGCTGTGTGTTTTATGCCTGGGATGGCGGGAATTTAGTATGAAAACTCACATGAGGGTCCAGTGCAGTAGCCTAGTGGCCAAAGTCCTCACCTTGAAAGCACTGGGATCCCATGTGGGTGTCAGTTTGTGTCCCAGCAGCCCCATCTCCTGTCAAGCTTCCTGCTTGTAGCCTAGGAAAGTGGTTGAGAACATCCCAAAGCTTTAGGACCTTGCTGCTGCATGGGAAACCCAGAAGAGCCTCCTGGCTTCAGATCAGCTCAGCTCTGGCCATTGCGGCCACTTGGGGAGTGAATCATCGGACAGAGGATCCTCC